TGGAAGTTAAATTGATGATTGAACAAATGTTCCATCATCCTGTTTGCTTCCCTTGGCCAGTGAGCAGAACAAAGCTAATGGCCAAGCAGTAAGCCTTCTTGATTCTCTGTTTATTTGCAGGGTCATGTTGAAAGGTATTGAAACATGTTTTGAATGTGTATTGAGGGCTTACATTATTGTGACGGGCAGTTCCTGTTCCGGAGGAGTCAGTAGTTCGTCATTGCCAAGATCACCAGGAATAGGTCCGTGATTCTTGGGGCACTTTGCAGGCACCAGAGCATGACAAAGCTGGGCGAATCTAGGACTTAGAAGCTACATCCCAAGCTGGAAATTGTTCACTACCACTTACCTCTTGGGATCTAGTCAATAATGTTTAAAAACAGAGTACCGGAGGGGCCAGAGAGATAGCTGAGGCCAGACGCTTGCTTTATATGAACGGGAAGTGCAGGGATTTGGGATTCTTGTGTTGGAGGGGTGGGGAGCATCACATGGCACCCCGAGCATGGCTCAAATGCGCTTGTGGCGTATTTAGAAGTTCCTCGGCAGATCACCAGAGCAATTTTATCAAATACCAATGGAAGAGGAACTAGTATTTTGCTAATGTATTATCAACACTTGGGTGTCATTCATCATAAAGAAGCATTTTTGAAACCTGTCTTTCAAAAGGAAGGAAGGAGTGTGTAGAGCTCATTCCTTTGTGCCGTGGCGGAGGGCCATGGTTGTCTTTAGGATTGGGACTATCCAGATTCCTGCCTGAATTGAGCCACTTCTGCGTCCTTCCCCAGGGAATCAAGAGCACTGTCCCTGCAGCAGTGACAGCCCTGCCAAGTGACAAGCATCCCACAGGCACTGGCCACCCTCTGGCTCTTGCCCTGTTTAACACTCCCTGATCCTGTCCAAATCCCTGCTGAAGTTAGTCCTAACAATGTATCCAACATAATTCCTGTATTAATCTCAAGTGGAGGACCTCATCTGTTCCCCTTGATATGCTTAAAGGAAACCACCCTACTTCCAAGGGCTTGCTTGGCTGCTGCTACTGAGGCCAGTGGCCTTTGAAGAGCAGCTGCTGTCTCAGATTTGCATCAGTGCCGCCTGCAAGGCCTGCCCTGCAGCTCAGGACCTGGGGTCAGCTCGGGGAAGCTAGCAGGCAGGCGATGCAGTTGCTTCCCGGGTTAAAACCCTCTAGCCTGATACCCTGTGTGCTCTTGTGTGTCGGTTGCCCGGCCCACCAGGTTTCTGTGGTAATCAAGAGGGCATTGTAAGCTGCCCACTTGGACCCCAGATGAGTGTTTCTTGCTTCTCAGCTCCAACTAACTACAGTCTCTCCGGTTCCTAGGGACAAACACGGGAAATAGTCCTTATGGAATATAAGGAGTTCTCGGTTAACAGTCTATTCATCTTTTTATGCCTACACTCCCTCCCCTTTTTTTTGTTTTGTTTTGGGGGCCACACCTGGAGGTCCTCAGAGGTAGTTACTCTTGACTCGGGAATTAACTCCTGCAGGTTCTCAGGATACCATAAGGGTTGTTTGGGATCGATCCTGGTTCAGCCTTGTGCAATGCAAATGCCCTACTCGCTGGAGCAATAGCTCCAGCCCAGTCTGCAGGTTTTACGGCATTCTTACTCCCGCTTGTAATATGTCAGAAATTAATCTGGATAGAAAGCTGTCAAGAATTACAGAAGTGGGAGGAGGGAGGTAGTACAATGGGTAGAGCACTTGTCTGGCTTATGGCAGACCCGAGTTGGATCCCCAGCAACCCAGAAGTGATCCCTGAGCACCTCCAGACTTGGCATCCCCATCCTCCTTGAAAGGGTAAAAGTCCAGAAGTATTTAGCTCGAGAGATAGTTCGGGGGTGAAGATGTTGGTATGTGGTCGCCACAATGCAAGAGAAACATGTTAACACTGCCAGGTATAGTCTAAATCCATGCCCCCCTATGCAAAAAAAAAAAAGTTTGTGTGTTGGGGGGAGAATATTTTAGTTACTGGGAGCCAGAGTTAGTGCTGGTTCTTTATCTGCACTTGAAACAGCTCTGATACTCTGATACCATGTGACTCCGTCCCTGAGGCGGGGGCCTTGGCCATCTTGTGCCCCCCCCCACAGTGTACCCTTCATGTCCTCAGAAAGGCCCCACTCAGACTCCCACTGCTGCTCTGTGACCAGAACCCTGGGGGGGAGCTTTCTTTTGGCATGCCCCCCCTCCTCCTTTGAGCTGGTCTCCATTGTCCTCAAAACATACTTCCTGGCTGTGTTCATAAGGACCTTTGTAACCCCAAAGTGCCAACCCCAGGAGGCCTCCTCTGCAGTCTCCCACTCAGCCTAAGCCTCGCAGCTGTGTCCCAGGACTGGCCACTCCTCCTCTTCCCCCACTAGCCGCCTTTCCAAGCCTCTCCCGCTGCCCAGCCCCCAAGACCCCCCTGCTCGACCTTGCTCACGGCTCCTGGGGGGAAGCCCTTGGGCTGACGGTTCTGAGATTCCTTCCCCTGCCTTTTCTGGTGCTCCATGTCTGTCCCCATTTCTCTCCGCTTTGATCTGGCTGGGAAGGGTGGGCAGAAAATCCCAAGAGCCGTCCATGCCATTTTTCCAGTTCCTTGTCCCGTCTCCCATCCCCATAACGGTGCATTATTCTGCGTTTACTGTTATTCCTCCCACATTTTCACTGCCCAACTTTCTCAGATGTCAGATTCTTTGAAGCTAGCTTTCATTTTTCTGCAGTTGGGAGGGCGGGGGAGCTCATGTATTCCGTGTTTGGAAGGGAAGGCCTGTGCCCAGGGGCGGCCATGCATGAGCGGTCAGTCCTGAGTGGTTTGGATTGAAATAGGGCAGAGAAGGCAAAGCTCTGGAGCCTTGGTCCAGCCTTCCCTTCAGTTACCCAGGCTCTGTGCCCAGGCCCTCGGGCACCCAGCTTCTCTCCAAGGACCCAGGTCTCAGAATGGTGGCCCCTAGAATGCTCTGGAGGTGCTATAAGCATGGAAGGGGGTTTTCTAATAAGGAGAAAATGCTTTCACTGAAAAGCTTGATTATCAAGAGCCAGAAAGGCCTGGCACAGAACATTCTTTGGACCTACTCAGCCAGAGTCGGGCTCATTCAAGTCCTGGTTCCAGGAGGCGCTTGGGGTCCTTGGCGTGCACTGGGTGAGGGCAGGGCCCAGCAGCCACTCGGCAGTGCCGTTCAGCACCAGCCCTGCCTGCAGTTTCTGGGACGCCTTCAGTCCCCGTGCCACTGTGCCAGCCTCAGGCCTTCCTGGCCACCAAGTGGGCGTGCGTGGTGTCTGCCACACTGTGTGGAGAGCTCTCTGGTGTGGGGGTGGGGGGGAGTGTTGGGAGAAACTGTGTCCCTGGGCTTGAGGTCAGATGGAACAGCAAATGCTGCGTGCAGAGATGCTGTGGAGAACTCGGATTTGCACATCTTTCCTGTGGCGTGCACGTCCTGCAGTGGAGAAGTCAGCCGAGTGTGGAAGGTGGGCCGGCGTTCAGCTGGCCTTTTCCAAGGAAGATTTTCTCTCACCAGCCTCCTCCCATGACTAGTGCCCCGCCTGGGGCTATCCATATACTTGGAAAATTCCTCCTGCGCCACCTCCCCTAACCCCCCTGAGATGCCAGGGCTAGCTCTGTTCAACCTCTTCCTTCTAAGCACGGTTTTGAGTCGACTGTCCAGCTTGGGTGCATCCTGAGAAGGACCCAGACCCTGGCCTGATGCTCAGCCCTCAGGGGTGGGTGACCCGGAGTGAGCAGGAGTCTGTGCTGAAACCCAACTGTCTTTGATTCCCTCTGTCCCGGCGCCTCTGGGCTGGTTCTACCGGCACCACTCAGATGTCCTTGCAGTAGCAAGGCCAGGCTCTGCTGGACACTCAGCCTGGACACACAGAACAGGGACCTGTTCCTACAGAGCTGCCTTCATTCTCGTCACATGCTTGATTTTGGATTTTGTGTTCAGGAGACCATGCGGTGTAAGAGTCGAGCCCAGGACTTCCACCTGCAAAGAAGTGCTCGGCCCTTCTTGAGCACCCCCCCCCCCAGCAGTGCTCAGGGGTTACTCCTGGCTCAGCTCTCAGAGTTTACTCCTAACTATGCTTTCCTGAGGTCCACTTCCTGGTGGCCTTGGGGACCACATGGGGTGGCAGGGATGGCGCCTGACTCACCACATGCAAGGCTGCCCTCTGTGCTGTCTGATCCCATGGGCTGAGAGTCTTGACGGGGAAACATGACACTGGTCCCAGGAGCCCACAGGGCTGAAGACGGGCTTGTGTGTCTCCCGTGGCCAGGAGGCTGATGTAAGGGTTGCTGAAGGCCCTAGGTGGTTTCCTTAATGAGTGCGGGCATGGAGAGGGAGGTGGAACTGAGTCACAGTTAAGGACACAGCAGGTGTTCATACATCTGCTTGATCCCGATCTGGCTCTAAGTCCCATCGGAAGTGTGTCTGTGGGCCCGCCACCTCAGTGGTCCCGAAGGCCAGGCGCGAACGCTTCTCGGAAGAAGGGGGGGCTTCAAGGAAAGGAGATGCAGCGATGTTCTGTGACTGGGGTGCCCGGCACTCCCCTATCATCCCCACCCCCACCCCGCTCTGGCTCTGCAGATCCTACTTTTTCCTGCTCCATCTGGGTCCGCCTCCCCTTGAAGGGGGCAACTGGCGTTGTGTGGAGCTCTCCGCGCTGGGCGGTGGGTCCCACCCAGGGTGGGGGTGGGGGTGTGCTGCTCACTTACCTGCGACCTTGGGGCCCCGGGTGCCAGTCCAGACCCCACGATGTCTGCGCTCCCCTCCCGCCTGGGTCTCACTGACACTGGCCCCGCCTTCCTCCCGTCTCCGCTCTCCTCCCCGCAGCCCTTTCCCGGGGTAGGTGGGGAGTTGGGGGGGGGGCGTCCCCGCCGGCCCCTGTGGACTAGCGGAACCCCGGGGAGTGTCCCCGCTGAGTCGGTCCTCCCGGAGCGCGGGCCCCGCACCTGGGAAGGGGGTGGCGGGCGCGGGGGGCGGCGCGGCGCGGGCGCGCGCGGTCACGTGACGCCCCTCCCGAACTGCGGCGGCGGCGGCGGAGCCGCGTCCCAGCCGAGCTGCAGCCGAGCAGGCGCCGAGCCGCAGCGCCCGAGGCCCGCGGTGAGTCCGGGGAGGGCCGGGGGCGCCGCCACCCGCCGCGTGGGTGGGCAGTCACGTTTTCGGCTCTCCGGGAGGAAGGAGGGGGTCGCCGACAAGTGAGACCCCGGCCCCGGCCCCCGGGAGGAGGCGCTTCGGCGGCGCGCAGACCGGGGCAGTGGGGTGCTTGGGGACCACCGGCCCTCCTGCGCCCAGGGCGCGGCGATGTCCTTGCCCCCCGCCCGCCCGGCCTGCCACGGGGCCCTGCTCGCGCGTCACGCCGCGCGCGACCCTCGGGCCCTCCGGGTGCTCCGCGGGCTGGGGGCTGCGGGAGCCCCCTGGGGGTCCCCTTCTTGATGCCCGCCGTGTGGCTCAGGGGCACTCGCACACGCTCACGCATCACCTTCTCTTCGTGCTAGTTGCATCCGACCGGTGCGTGACCCCGGAGTCCTTGGAGGGGTCATCCCGCAGGTCTGGGCGGGAATGAAGGACACCCCAGCGTCAGGCCCGGCACCTCGGTTTCCGTGCCCGTACCTCCCGCCTCCGCCCTGCCCACCCCCCACTCCGTCCTGCGTCCAAGGCCGCCAGAGAAGCTGGATCCGGACAGAAGCAGGAGAGATGGGCAAAAACATTCCCTCCTCTAGGAAGCGGGGTAGGGGGCCAGGCCCCTAGTATCCCCTGCAGTGTCCTCACCGCCCCCCCCCCCCATGGAGCGCTGCTTCCTTCCTGAGGACATCTGCCAGAAGGGGGAGGGAGAGCCCCACATTTCTGAGCTAACGTGGTGGGGGGACCGCAGAGGACCCCAGGAGCATGCGGGCTGGCAGCGGCTGAGGAGTGGAGGTGCTGGTCTGCAGGCTGGCCCTGGGGACCCACATTCTCCTAGGACCTTTGAGGTGCTTTCTGGGGCCTGGGAAGAATCCTCAGGTGGAAGGAGCCCTGGCCACAGTGGTGTTGGCAGATGAGGAAACTGAGGCTCAGGGGACCAAATCACCAGTCCAAGGTCACAGAGTCATCTGCCGAGTCAGAGTCCATTTTCTGGCTCTGGATCCAGGGGCAGAGACTAGATAGAGTGGCCCAGGGTATTGTCCCCCCTCTGCTGTCCCCGGGTGGGGGGCAGAGGGGGTCTGTGGGCACCTGCACAGGGCAGGGAAGCTGGGTCCTGTATCCTCTCTCCAGAACCTGCTGTCTGTGCCACCGCTTGTCATGGCCTCCATGGCCCCTCAGCCCTTCCCCAGCCTGCACCGTCCTTGAGCAGTGCCCTCTCCCCTTCTTTCCATGCCAGGGGGCCTGCCTAGCGGGGCTCCCCTCCCCTGCCTTCATCTGCTCCACCCGCAAAAAGAAAGAGGGATCCTTCCTCCCTCCAACCTCTTGAAGTGCAAAGGGTCTCCTTTTTGTGCAGCACCCAAGCGGGGTGTACACAGGTGCCCTGGGACCCTGCTCGCACCCCCACCCTCTTACCTGCCCAGGCGGGTTCCGGGAGCGGTTTCCAGGCCCAGAGACCAGGGAGGATCCCTGGAGCATGTCTTCCTTGCCACCTATCTGTCTCAGAAAGCCTTTGTCCTGCTTGTCAGGCTGCTGAGTAGCTGCACATACGCACACATGTACACACACTGACTCACACTAACATGCACATACGAACACACATGCAAACATACAGGCATGCACAAACACACGCACACAGCCTCATGTACACATTAACACACACACTAACACACTCTCACGCACAGATTTGCACACACACATGCACACGCACAAATACCTTCATACACACGGATGCACACACTGACACATGCACACGTACATACTCACATGCGCACACGCATACACAGACCCCACAGACAGTCCAGCCGCACAGCGTTCCAGATGCAGACATGGCTGGATTCTCAAAGACTCGCAGCCCAGACTGAGGGACCTGCCCGCACACCCAGGCCTGGCCCCAGCCCTGCTCACAGATCTGCCCAATGCATCCGCCGCGACACCGGGTGTGGACTGCGGCCACGGGTGGCTAGTGGTGCTTGTCTGCCGGAAAAGCCTCCAGAAACCGTACCCCACGCCCAGGCCCCAGGGCCTTTCATAGCTTCCTACTCGAGCACTGGACTGCCATCCCTTGGAATGAGCCCCCCTCCCAAGTCTGGCTTTCTTCCCTCTTTTGCTTCCCTTGAACCGAGCTGCCCCCCCCCCCCACCTTGTCTGGTGTTTTCCCCTCAGAAACCCCCCAGCCCCCCTCCACACACACCTGCCAGGTGGCCCTTCCATCTTTCCCTTCCTCTGCTGCGCAGGCCCCTTCCAGGGCTAGACAGTGACCCAGCCTCGGCTCCAGGCCACCCTGGGGCTCCCTTTCCTTTGCTGCTTGTGCCAGGAGCTCTTGCCAAGTCCTGGATTCTGCTCTGTCCTTCCAGGGATTCCGCTGTGCTCTCCTCTGCTCACCTCTGCCTGGCAGAGGCGCTGGCGCCCGGCCGAGCCCTGGAGAGGCCCAGATGGCAATGCAGCTGCCTAGAGCCGCTCCTGGTTGGGGTCAGAGTCCCTGTGGCAGACTGACGGGGCTGAAGTGGGGACTCTGGGGCTTTGCCCCCTTCCCTGGGCACTTGCCCTGGCACGCCAGCAACTGGTTCCGAGTCCCTCCTCTCTGCTGACTGTGTGGCCCAGGCAAGTGTCTCCCGTCTCTGGTCCAGTCTGCAGCGCTGGAGGCGGCTCAGCCTGGCTCAGGAGTGTGAGCTGTGAGGGGGCACCAGTGCCCATGAAGATGTGCTGGGAAGCAGCAGGCCAGAGAGAGACCCTGGCTGAGGACATCCTGGAAATTAGAAGTTCTGGTGCTTGGGGTCAGAGAGCACAGTGGGTAGGGCACTGGCCATGCATGCTGCTGACCCAAGATTGATCTCTTGCACCCCATGTGGTCCCCTGGAGTCCTGCCAGGAGTGGTTTCGGAGTGCAGAGCCAGGAGTAAGCCCCGAGCATCTCCAGATTTGCCTCCCTCCCACAGAGAGAGAGGGAGAGAGCGAGACAGACAGACAGAGACAGAGACAGAGAGAGAAGCAATTCTGGTGTACGTACAGTAGATCACGTGGGGGAGGGGGGCAGAGAGAGACCTGAGGACAGGGGGTTGCTGTCAGAGTTTACATCTGTGAGAATTTTCCTCCTCACCTCCCCCTCCCGGTCTGGCTGGTTTGAAGGCTAAGGACTGACATTTCCAGGCAGTGATGCAGAGCGCTGGGAGAATAGGCCAGAGGTCATCTGGGGCACCAGCCTTCCTCCACATGGACCCTACAATATCCCTGCATGCCAGCTTGTAGCAGAGGCCCTGTGTGTGGGCTTGCTGAGCACTCACGGAGCCTGCAGTATGTCCTGGGTCCTGATGGGCCCAGGGCATGGGTGGGGGCAGGGGCGCCCAGCAAGAAGATGAGGCTCGGAGAACTTAGTGATATGTACTCCAGTGTGCCCCCTAGCCCTCACCCCTGCCTGTGGACGAAATTCTGAGCATCAATTCTTTATGTTTGGGGGGGCCACACCTTGCCGTGCTGGGAGGTCACTCCCAGCAGTGTTCAGTGGACCATGGCATGTTGGGGGATGGAACCCCGGTCTCCCGCACACAAAGCATGAGCACTAACCCATGGAGCTCCTCACCTGCTCCTTAAATTTGTTTTGTTTTGTTGCCACACCCAGCGATGCTCAGGAGTCACTCATCGCTCTACACTCAGGAATCACTCCTGGTGGTGCTCCAGGGACCATATGGGATGCCGGAGATTGAACCCAGGTTGACCATGTGCGAGGCCCTACCTGCTGTACTGTTATTCCAGCCCCTAATCCCTAAATTCTGTTTCAGGTTTTTGTTGTTGTTGTTGTTTGTTTATTTGTTTGCTTTTGGGGTCACGCCTGGTGATGCATAGGGGTCACAGGGCTCTGCACTCAGGAATTACTACTGGTGTTGCTGGAAGGACCATATGGGGTGCTGGGGATCAAACCCAGGTCAGGCCTATGCACGGCAAATTATCACTCCAGAGCTGTACTATCTCTCTGGCTCCTGTTTTGGGGTGTGTGTGTGTGTGTGTGTGTGTGTGTGTGTATTGGTGGGGGTGGCGCCACACCCAACAATACTCAGGACTTCCTCCCAGCTCTGTACTCAGGAATCACTCCTGGTGGGGCTTGGGGGAACTTATGGGATGCCAGGGATTGAATCCAGGCTCAGCCGCAGGAAAGGCAAATGCCCTCCCCACTGTACTATTGCACCAACCCCATTCCCTAAATTCTGACTCAGCCACATGACCGGGCAAATTCCTCCCACTCTCTGAGCCTGTCCTTCATCTGTAAAGGTGTCGGGGACCCGCTCCGTGTTGGCAGAGGGGAACGACAATGTAGGCCAGTACCCAGGGCAGTGCCTGGCGCATCGTGGGCATTGGTTGCAGAGCAAGGGAGCGTGGGCTGGAAGTTGTCTGGTTGTCTGAGCTCTGTCTCTGCTGTATGGCTTTGGCCAAGTGTACCTCCTCCTGCTCCTCCTCCCCCTCCTCCGCCTCTTCCTCCTCCTCCTCTTCCTCTAGGGTCAGGCGCTGCTGCCTGCACACCCGCGTATTATTTGTGTGAAGTCAACACAGTGGCGGGCACCAGTGTGCAGAAGGAACAGCCGCCACTGGGCAGCTCTGGACACAACTGTCTTTTTTTTTTTAATGTAGGAGTATTGCCATTGATTAGGCTGATTGAATTGGGCATGAACTCCACCTTACTTTTTTCCCCCCCTTTTTATAAATTTATTTATTGAACCACCGTGAGAGCAGTTAAAAAGCTTTCGTGTTTAAGTCTCAGTCATACAATGATGAAACACCCGTCCCTTCACCAGTGCCCATTTTCCACCACTAAAACCCCCAGTATACCCCCATCCCACACCCTCCCCCTACCTGTGGGGCAGATGATTTCTACTTTACTCTCTGTCTATTTTGATTACATTCAATATTTCGACACCAGGCCCACCATTATTATTTGGGATTTTACCCCAATACTCAGATCTGCCAAAAAGGCAACAGTAGACAATTTGT